TCTCTCTCTCTCTCTCTCCCCCCCCCCCTCTCTCTCTCACCTCAAATACCAGTTTCCTGGTACTGTTGTAAGTTAGTTATTCAAAAAAGTTACACTATTTGAATTTCCCTAACTACATACCATACTTCCGTTAGTTAACACGATTGTGTACCTGTGCATATGACCCTGTATAGGTTTACATATTTACTAAAAAATTAGATCTAACTTGCACATATTAGAGAAAACATACCTCATTGGTCTCTCTAAGCCTGAATACTTCACTTGAAATAGAAAATTATTAAAGAAATAATATGGAAATACACCTGAAATCATTCAAGATTTACAAAATCACATATAAGTGAGAGCTTGAATCATTCCATAAGTCGTAAAAAGGAGTTTTCTATAGCAAAAGGCTACGTGATTTCTTTTCCACATAACACTGTAGAACTTTCTAGAACTATCAAAGTTGTGATTACATGTATACATTCTAGCAATGAAGAAACAGAAGTAGGTGGATTGTACAAGTAAATTTATTAAGTTATTAGTTATTTATTTGTCAGTCTTGGGCTTGAACTGAGGGCCTAGGCACTATTCCTGTGCTTTTTGCTCAGGGATGGAGCTCTACTCCTTTATCCACAGCACCATTTCTTCTCCAAGTAATTTTTAGCAAGATTCAATGGCAGGTCATAAATCAGAAACCATTAACTGTTGCCATGCTCCTTCTAGCATCAAACTCTTACTTTTCATTTTACAACATTTAAATTTCCCTACATACACATGATTCTCAATGTCAGTTCTCAAGACTGTGTAATAAGTATTACTTAAGCCTGCTTGTTAAAGTCGCAGAATCTTCAACCTGTGAAATGCTAAATCATAAAGTTGGGTTTGTTACTGTATTTTTGTTATTTTTTAAAGATTATATGAGAATCATCTTGCTTTTCTGCTTGCAACCTAACAAGATATTACTATGTAGTAGTATTTAGTAAATAATACTGGATAGCTTATTGAGATATCATCACAGAGTCACTTAGAGATAGGTCCCTACACTAATAGCCTACTAATACTAATTTTTTCAAATGTCTGGGCACCAATAGCTCATGCCTATAATCATATCTACTCAGGAGACAGAAACCTGGAAGATCACTATTCACAACCAGCCTGAACAAAAAAAGTCTGTAAGACTTCATCTCTGATTACATTCTGCTTCAAATGCATGCACAAAGAAAGAAATAAAAGTAAAGAAAAACTAAATGAAAGAAAAGAAAAGAAAAATGTAGAGAAAGAAGAGCTCTCAAGAGTAATTGTTTTCACAAGTTGTTAAAATAATTTAAAATGAGTAAGAATGCCACTCCATTTATGTCAAAACAAAATTGAGACATCAAGTATTAGTAATTCTAGGCAAAATTTCCGACTGCCTCTAAAAGCCTTCTAAGTATAGCCAAATAATGTAAATATGCTCTAGATGTTTCCTATTCCAAGTGGTAGATGTGCAAACGTAAGTTTTCACCCACAGCAAAACAATATAAACAAAGGCTCTTCAATGAATTGAGTTGATAGATAATAAACTCTCCAAAAAATCTTCAGCCTTCATGGAGAGGCTGCTGACCCTAGAAGAGGCTATTAAGCATTTCCATTTGGAGAACAAAACAGCTCAAATGCACAGCAATATCTTTTCTAGTCACAAAAGAATATGAGTCCAGGGCAGATTTTTCCAATTAAATTCTGGAGGTCCTCTTTCTCCTTAATTCAAGGTGCTACACGTCTGTGCAAATTCTCAGAGTTAAATCTGTTTAAAAAAATCCTAAAAGCAATTAGCAAAGTGTTTGTTCTTTGGAATCACCTTGTAGCTTACAGAATATTTGTGATATGTTCTTTTAATTTACATAAAATAACTCCATTACATATGCAAGAAAAATGTATTAGCATTCTATTTAAGGACACTGAAAGGTGAGGAATATAAGTATATATGTGTATGTATGTATGTATGTATATTTGTGTATGTATGCATGTGTATGTGGGTGTGTGGTAGAAAAGTTCTTGTGCAATGTCAGCATGTTTGAGACAGGGAATGAGAGCAGTAAGTGGAATCAAGGACTAACCTGCATTGGGAAGAGGGTAAGAAAATCAGGAGCAATACTCTAAGATAAAACAACCTTCACCATATTCTTCAGTAGGTGCAAAAATCGTTGTCTTTGAAGATAAATCAATTGAGATGATACTTTCCTGCAGCTGTCTCGACAAACTTTTAGTTTAATAAGTAGTCATAAATAAATCAAAGATCGCTCTAGAATGACAGTCCTAACTTTCATTTCCCAGTGACACTGAATTGGTTATGGTTGTAACAACTCTTTCTCCACTCAAGGCCCAACTCTTAAACTGGAGCTGAAACATCTGGCATCTGTACTACCAGCCTCTCTGCGTAAGTAGAAATCCGGTCTCTCCACCTTTAATTGGATTTCTGATGACAGCTCTGCCTTTTCTGAGCATTGCTTGCTAGGAGTAACACTGCATTTGATTAAGAAAGCAGAAAAGTCTGTCTGAATTTAAAGCAAAAAGCAAAAGTTAAACTGCAAGCTCCACTTCAGCATTCAATGTCAAGAGATATACATATTAGCATTTTGTGACATTTAATGGTCCTCATTGATGTTGGTATTTTGTCCCAAACATTGCACTTACTGTTTTTAATATTTTAGTTCTGATGTATGATAAATGCATTTTATATTACTCACTAATAATTTCAAATATACATACATCTCGATACATAAACTATGCAAACAAATCAAAATACATTTCTGTGTACATAAGTGAAGCCCAGCATTCATATTTTAATGTTTTCAAAAACCCTGCCAGGACTTTGAGAATGTGTATGTGTTTCATGCAGCCAACCTTATCACTTTCTTGTTTTATGCCCAAGGCTTAGCAAGGGGAGTTTCAAAGCGTATATCTTTAATACTTTTGACTGATAGGAAAATTTTGCTTACTGTAACAATTTTCTTTTGTTAACTTCATCTTTCTCATACTTTTTTCCTACTCATACTCACCAAGCTGTAATAGTTCTGTTCAGATTAATAAATATTGTAATTTATTTAAACCTTAATACTGGAATCAATTTATAAAGAGTCAAAAAATCACCTACGTAAGGTACAAAAGCCTATTTAGTGATTATTTTTTCGCACTTCAATGTATTTAAATGCCAAAAGACAATGAATAAATATAAAGAGGTGATTGCAAAGAACTGCTAGTGTATCTCTAATAAAGTTTAAAAGAATTTTTGTTCCGTGCTTTATAATTGTTATTCATGCTAGCCAAAGGGTCATATTTCAAAAGACTAAGATTGTCTTCTACTTTAACTCTTTAATAAAATTAAAATAAAAAGAATAAATTTTAAAATCTTGTCCAATGATTGAATGCTCACAGCATAGAAAATAGTCATGAAATGGGATTATGTTAATATGTGCTGGATTTGCTGGATACCACACAATCCTGACGAAGAACACTAGACTTAGAATCAGGAGATCTACATTCTAATCCGTGTTATACAGCTAATTACCTGTGTGACCTTGAATAACTAATCAAAATTCCAAGTCTAAGTTTTTTTTTCTATAAAATCATGCTGGACTATGTGATTTATGATTTTTAATAAGCAATATCATGTGATATACCATAATAATAAAGGCAAATTATTACTATCCAATGCTTAAAAATGCTAAAGAAGAAGAGATAGAGAGAGAAAGAGAGACTTCAAGGTCATTTATTTTTCTGAAAATGGGCAATTAGCCTATAGTACCATAATTTGGTAACAAAGATTTGGCAGAACAAAGACACTAGTAATTTCAGAAACTGCTAAGAGTAACATTAAAAAAAGATTTTCTATTGATCTTGCTAGCTATGTCCTTTGCCATGCAGAAGCTCTGCAATTTTATGCAATCCCATTTGTCCAACCTTTCTTTGATTTGTTGTGTTTCTGGGTCTCTATTAAGAAAATCTGGGCCTGTACCAAGGAGACATACGGTTTCTCCTATTCCATCCTGTAATATTTTCAGAGTGTCTGCTTTGACTCTGAGGTCTTTGATCCATTTGGAGTTGATTCTGGTGCAAGGTGATGCATAAAGATCTAGCTTTAGTTTTCCACAATTAGTTAACCAATTTTGCTAGCACCATTTACTGAAGAGGCTGTCTTTCTTCCATTCTATTTTTTTAGCTCCCTTATTGAAGATTAGATGGCTATAGGTCTTTAGGTTCATTTCTGGGTTTTCAATTCTATTCCGTTGGTCCTGAGGTCTGTTCTTGTGTCAGTACCAAGCTGTTTTGATTACTATGGCTTTGTAGTAGAGTTTGAAATTTGGTATTGATATTCCACCAGCACTGTTTTTTCTGTTAAGGATAGTTTTTGCTACTTGGGGTCTTTTATTGTTTCATGTGAATTTTTGGATTGCCTCTTCTATTTCCTGGAAGAATGAGGTTGGAATATTGATAGGTATCGCATTGAATATGTAGATATCCTTGGGAAGCCCATGGATTGGGAGAAGATCTTCACTAGTCATAGAACAGACAAGGGTCTCATATCTAAAATATACCTGGAACTCAAAAAATCAAATCCCCAAAAACAAATCTTCGAAGAAACAACTGCCCAATAAATAAGTGGGCTAAAGACATACAGAGAAACTTCTCTGAAGAGGAAAGAAGGATGGACAATAGACACATGAAGAAATGCTCAACCTCTCCAGCCATAAAAGAAATTCAAACCAAAACAACATTGAGATACCACCTCACCCCAGTTAGAATGGCTAGAATCAAGAACTCATAACAACAGATGCTGGAGAGGATGTTGCCAGAAGGAAACCTTACTGCATTGTTGGTGGGAGTGTAAACTTGTTCAACCATTTTGGAAAGCAGTATGGAGGTTCCTCAAAAGACTCCACATGGAGCTCCCCTTTGACCCAGCAATCCCACTTTGGGGCATTTACCCAAATGATCACAAACAACACCATACAAAAGCTACCAGCAAGTATGGCGGCTGGAGAAACGGCGGTGGCCACCCGTCTGCTGCTGAGAAGAACTGGATCTTCGGTTCAGGCCATCCTCATCAAAGCTTAAGTTTGCTATACAATAAAAATCAGGAGGTCTGATCCTGATTGCAGAATCCTTTCCCTGATTGCAGAATTCTTGGTCTTGTCCCTCAATTCATCCCTACTCCCAGAACATCGGAGAAAATCTGTAAAATTCCATTCGAGAAATCATTAGGAGTTCATTGAAGAGAAACAACCAAGATTATTGGTTGGAATAAAAACAGGGTTGAATGAGTTCCAGAAAGCAGGGACCACAGCCTCCTGCAGAACAATCCCCTGAAGAAAAAAATTTTAAAAAGCCGGCTAGAGGCAGTATGCAAAGAAGTAAGATGAGAGGTGCTGCCTCTGGGAAGAAGACCACTGGCCTGCAGCCAAAGAATCTTGAGCCTGCTCTCCCAGGAAGATGGGGGGGGGCGTTCTGCAGAGAACCCCCCTTTTGGATCAGTGCAGAAAACAAGAAAGAGCAAGCAGAAGTCTCCTGGAAACAGTGATGGTGGCAGTACCAGCGAAGCTCCCCAGCCCCCACGAAAGAAAAGGGCCCGAGCTGATGCTACCGTTGAGACCGAAGAGGCGTTCAAGAATAAAATGGAAGTTAAGGTGAAGATTCCAGAAGAATTAAAGCCGTGGCTCGTTGAGGACTGGGATCTGGTAACTCGACAGAAGCAGCTATTTCAACTGCCTGCTAAGAAGAATGTGGATGCCATTTTAGAAGAGTATGCCAATTGTAAGAAATCACAGGGCAATGTCGATAATAAGTATTATGCTGTTAACGAAATTGTGGGAGGTATAAAAGAATATTTTAACGTGATGTTGGGCACTCAGCTGCTCTATAAATATGAGAGGCCTCAGTATGCTGAAATTCTGTTGGCTTATCCTGATGCTCCTATGTCACAGGTTTATGGGGCACCACACCTGTTGCGATTATTTGTTAGAATTGGAGCAATGTTGGCCTATACTCCCCTTGATGAAAAGAGCCTTGCATTATTGCTTGGCAATCTGCATGATTTTTTAAAATATCTGGCCAAGAATTTTGCCTCTCTCTTTACCACCAGTGATTATAAAGTTGCATCTGCCGATTATCACCGCAAAGCCCTGTGAAGGCTTTGTCACCACTGGTTGATGTTTAGTATATGTAAACGATACTTAGTCTTTCCTTGTAAAATTGATGTTCCTTAAAATTGTTAATGTATAACAGGGCTTATGTTTTTATTTGTTTTCTGATGTAAACAAAATAAAAGGAGTACATGCTCCTTTATTTCAAAGTTGCTACCAGTGTATACAGTAATTAGATGAAGAAACATTCAGTAGAACATTTTATTGCCTAGTTGACAACATTGCTTGACTGCTGGTGGTTCTATCCCTTTGACACTACAAAATTTTCTAATATGTGTTAATGCTATGTGATAAACACCTTGATTCTTAGTGCCAAAGGTTCAACTCATGTATATACCTGAAAACCCTTGCATTTGTGTTCTTTGTTTATGGTGCTTGAAGTAAAACAACCCATCCAGTGCAAATCCATCTATGTTATCCCCTTGGCGTTCTATCTTTGCTGAAATTGTTGAAGGATGGTGGTTTAATGACTGTACTTGCGACTAATGCACGTTATAACATGATAGACACAATGCATTGTTGTGTAGCTATGGTTTTCTGAAAAACTTGGTATTTTAGGAGTTGTATTTCAGATATTAAATAAAATTTGTTTCTAAAATTCAAAAAAAAAAAAGCTACCAGCACAACTATGTTTATTGCAGCATTATTTACCATAGCTAAAATAAGGAACCAACCCAGATGCCCCTCAGTAGATGAATGGATCAAAAAAATGTGTTATATATACACAATGGAATTCTTTGCCTCCATCAGAAAGAATGACATTGCCCCATTTGTTAGGAAATGGAAAGACTTGGAAAAAATTATATTAAGTGAAGTAAGCCAGCCTCAAAGAAACATAGGTTCCATGATTTCCCTTATTTGAAATAACTAGTATATGTCTGAGTCAAGCAAAAAAGGTCAGATAAGTTGATGTTAGGGAAATGAACCCCAAGATAAGTATTCAAATGTTTTTTTTTCTTTCATGCTATTGTTTCTAACATATTTATAAGATTATTTCTTTGCTGCTTTGTATGTCCCTCCCCCATGGTATAACCCCTGCTTTCACTGTATTTGATGTTGTTATGATTTGTGGAGGGGAAGGAAAAAACAAATCGTTTAAATAGGGATACAGGTGGACCCATTGCAACAATGAGATGTACAAGTCGTTATGTCAAAAAACGAACTTTACAACTTTGATTGAGGGTTGGGGAGGATGGGGGGGTGGGGGGAAGGGTATGGGAAAGGAGGGGAAGGGGTAACAAAGGAGGAGGCAACAATGCTTGATAAGAAATGTACTCATTATCTTGCCCATGTAATTGTAACCCTTCTGTATGGTATTTTCACAATTAAAAAAAATGTTTAGCTAATTATCTGCTCCAGAATCTCTGAGAAGAGATTATATGATTGACCTCTAGGATGGAAGAAAAATATATATATATATATATAACCTTTAGCCTTCCATTACAACTAAAAAGATAAGCAGATAACTCAGGTTATCTGCATACAAAGTTGCCCATCTGACAACACAAGAAATGGTTATAGCTTACTGTGTTTCTCCTGTCATTCCTCTTCATCAAATTGGAAATCCAATTTGCTCTGGGCAATACAATTAGACAACCTAAGGATGCCTGAAACAGAGGTAATATTTCATCACTACTTTTGAATATTTGATGTTACAAATAACACCTGTATTCATTTAGTTTTTACATTTTTTGTGTGTATGATTTTAGGCAATTTGGGAGAGAGAGCAAGTTGTAATACCTGAATTCAATCACAGGTCACAGGCTACATAAATTGTAATCCTGACTTTGTTCTTCACTAGCTATGAGAAAAAGAGACACTGGACAGAATATGAACTTACATTAGTTAAATTATATTTGTTAAATATATTTTTAAATATATGTATATTTACAATATTTTATAATACTTTTAATTTCATATAATTTTATAATACATATTATATATTTAAAATATATTAAAATATTAAGATGTAAGATTTGACATATAACAATTGTATGTAATTTGGAAGAACTCTTAGATAACGTATCTTCATTGTCATCATCATTATATTCTGAGCACAAGGTGTAGTATGAGTGATTAATAATTGATATTAGCATATACATAAAATTCCTTTCCCATTGTAACCTAACACAGAATGCCTTGGTACTGGTTCTGGAGAAGAAAGTGATAATGGAACCATAGTCTTTGAATTAGTATTCCTTCTAACATATTGTAAAATACCTTGGACAACAGATTCAGATTCAGATATAGTGTGGTAAATACACAGCAAGAGCATTTACTTACGATTCTCCTCTTTATCATAGAAATACAGATATCAGACAAAGGTTTCTCAAGGTTACTAAAATGAATATTCCCTCACAAAAAGCTGAAGTTGGGTAGTGAGGATCTCAGGTTCTTTATCTCTACTGCCTGTGGATTGCTATCACAAAAAGACACAAGATTCCTAGAGGCAAATACTAACTTTTCTCAGTAGTACTGAAGAATAACTCAGCTGTCCACAAATAAATAAACAAACACTACAGTAAAACTGCTTGCATTTTGAAGATTGAAAGGAAATTCTGACCTAAATCTTCAGAGGTGAATTTTTCCTATGTTCGGAGCCAAATTATTCTTGTAAGTTTATTTTCCACTTGACTATGAGCCAAATTTATGAATTTGGTAAGATTTACTGCCATGATCAGGTTATATAAAGTGATATAGCTGTGAGCCTTACTTAGTGAACCTTACTAAACAAGTCACTCATTAAAAAGGACAAATCTCTTTAGAGAGGCAGACATGCTAGGGAGAGATTTTCTGTTTTTGGTGTGAAGCAATGGGGCAAATGCAACAATGCTTGATAAGAAATGTACTCATTACCTTGCCCATGTAATTGTAACCCCTCTGTACGGTATTTTCACAATAAAAAAGAAGGAATGAAGACTGGAGAATAGCTTCTAGAAATTGTGATTGACCCCGGTAAACAGCCCATAGGGAAACAGTGATATCATTCCTACAACCCCTGAACTCTGCCAACAGCCATGTGAGTTAGAAAGGGGCTTTCAGGTTTCAGAGATTTCAGACTGGCTTATACCTTAATTGGTGCTTTGAGAGACTGTAAGGTCCTGGATATGCAATATGCAGACTTCAAACCGACTGTGAGGTAATAAATGGGTATTATTCTTAAAACTCTAAGTTTGTGACAATTTCCTACACAGCACTAGAAAACTAGTCCAAGCACTGAAAAGCTGTCATGTTCACAGTGGTAGATTCAAATTTTCTGTAGTTTTTTTTTTTTTTTTTTTTGTACTAGCAAACTCAAATTGTCTCAACAGTTACTGTCAGCAGAGATGTACATTTTGTTCATTTAGAGTAAATATATACCAAAATCCAATCTTGAGTAATCATCTATTTTCATTCCTTTTTGCCAATTGATAGTTAGTTTAAAAAAAAAAAAACAGCTTTTACCCACCATTACATTGTGTCATTGGGGCATATGTCAAAGAAGTAAGAGGCAAAATTCTGTGTGGGAACATGCACTTATGGTTGTGTATGCATGTGTATGTGTGTGTGTTTATACATATATAATCACTGGTAGGGTTTGAACTCAGGGCCCAGTGCCTCATGCTAACTAAGCAGTTGCTGAAGTGTGAAGTCATAGTTTTAGACCATTTTTTGTGCTGGTTATTTGTGAAACAGAGTTCTCCTTACTCGCCCCCGCACATGCCCGGACTTTGATCTGCCTATTTTAGGCATCTTGTCATAAGTGGGAAGACAGGCGCATGTCATCAAGCCCAGCTTCTTTACATGTAGATAACATATTGAGAATTGTTTGGCATGGGGCAGGAAATTTTGAGGAAGGATGGGGACTGACAAACCATCCCTATCATATGAATAAAATGTAAAACCACTATGAATCTAAGGTAACAACCCATGATTAGAGCCAATTCAGCCATCTAACTAAGTTGTCTCAAGGCACAAGCTAATTACACAAAGAGATTTATCTATTTAGCCAAGAACTAATATTATGCACCTTAGTACATATTATGTAGTATATATTATGTACCTTAGTACATATTATTATACTATGTACTACATATACTTGGCTATATACATATACTATTGTTCTTGGCTATATACATATACTATTGTTGTAGGCACTAATTGAAATGAATTGTTGTAGACAATCAATGGAAATTTCAATGACATAAAAAGTCTAGGGGAAAAAAATCTAGGGAAAATATGACCCTATGAGGAAAAAAATATATCCAAAAAAATAAGGTTCCAAAATAAAGGAAACAATGGAATTATAATCTGAAAACATTTACAGCAATGTTAGGAATACTTAAAATTAGAGTTTGGGCGATGAGACATAGATTACCAGTCCAAAGAAATAAAACATGACTGAGTAATAAAGCCAGCAAAACTATAAAAATAAAACATCATAATGCCTATAAATTAGATAATATAAATTCAGTCGACAAATTCTTTGAACAACATAAAATAATAAAGATCAGCCAGGTGCCAGTGGCTCAGAGTTGTAATCTTAGCTACTCAGAAGGATCTGAGGATCAGAGTTCAAAGCCAGCCCGGGTGGGAAAGTCTGTGAGACTCTTATCTCCAATAAACCACCAGAAAACCAGAAGTGGCACTGTGGCTCCAGTGGTAGAGTGCTGGCCTTGAGCTGAAGAGTTCAGGGACAGCGCCTGACTCAGGGTTCAAGCCCCACAACTGACAAGGAAATAAAATAATAATAATAACAATAAATATCATTTAACAGCTAACCTAGATATATTCTGTATTTTTCAAATATTAAATTTCTGTCAAAAATAACTTACTCTGAATTGAACTTTCAAGTGAAAATAGTTTCACTGATAAACTCTACCAAATATTTAAAGAATGTTTCATAAATGCTATATAAATGTTACATAAATCTGTCAGAAATCTTTAAAAAGAGAAAGCATTTAGCAATTAATTTCAAGACCATAATAAAACTAAAATTAAAAGAAACAATTAAATAAAAATAAACTGTAGATTTATATCCTCTTCATGAGTCCAAGCCCAACAGCAGAATAATATATTACAGATTTAACCCTCCAATATAAAACAATTAACAAGCAAAGAGCTTGGAAAGTGTGGCTCAGATTGTAGAGTATAGCTATGAAAAAGAAAAGTTAGGTCCTGAGTTCAGGCCTCAGCTGTACAAGAGCATGAGGCTCTGACTTAAGTCTTGGTACCAGTAAAAAGTAATAATGATAATTTTTAACTAAATAATATAAAATATTTAAAGAAAGCAGTCAAACTGCTAGAACTTTTTGCATCTATGTCTACAAAGTACTTAATAAGTAAGTCTTGACAATTACACTTAATGCTCATTGAACAACTCCTTTTTAAATTGGAATCTGTGATCATTATTTGTTTAAGGTATACTC